CTCACTCACACGCACACACTCATTCACTCAGTCTCACTCACACACACACACTCATTCACTCAGTCTCACTCACACACTCACTCACGCACTCACTCACTCACACAGCTTGTATCAATCACCTTCCAGCCCTTCTTGCCTCCTCCTCACAGATCACAGTCCTGCCTGTTTTGAGACATCAGTAAACTTGGAAATGTTGCACGCAGTTTCCTCCTGCAGGTCATTTCTATACAAGCCCTGATCCTCACAGAATCCATCCAGTTACTCGCTACCACCTGGAAAACAAATTATTTATTCCCATTCTCTGTTCCCTGTCAGCCCAACAATTCTCATATAATAATAAATACCAAAAGTACTGCGGATGCTGTAAATCAGGAACAAAAACAAAATTGCTGGAGAGGCTCAGCAGGTCTGGCAGAACTCCGGTCTGAGAAAGGGTCACCGGGCCTGAAACATTAACTCTGTTTTTTCCTTCACACATGCTGCCAGACCTGCTGAGCTTTTCCAGCAACTTTGTTTTAATTCTCATACAATGCCAAGATATTACCCCATCCCAAGTGATTTAAATGCACAGAGGCCTTGGGAGTGTTTGGAGATTACAGTAAAGATATTTCAGGAAGAATCAGGTTTTAACCTGCTCCTTTTGTCCCCCTCTCTTTCTTAACCCTCTCTCCTTCCCCCTCCCTCCCTCACTCTCTCTCCCACTCTTTGCCCCCTCACACTGTCTCACTCCCTGCCTGTCTGTCTTCCTCCCTCCTCCTTCCCCTCTCTATCCACCTCCCTCCTTGACCCTCCCTCTCGCCTTCTCTCCCTCTCCCTCTCTCTCCCTCCTTCTCTCCCCCCTTTCTCTCCCATCCCCCCCCCCTCTCTCTCCCCCACTCTCTCTCCCACCCTCCCCTCCTCTCTCCACTGCTCACTCCCTCCCTTCCGCTCTGTGTCTCCCCTCCCCATCCCCCTCCCGGTGTAGGTGAACAGGATGAGGTGAGCTGTAAACAGTATGTGACACAACTGAAGGACATCCGACTTCAGCTCGAGTCCTGTGAGAAGAGAACAATCAACAAAATCCGTCAACCACTGGTCAAGGACCCGCTCGGAGAGTGTAAGCAGCGTCTTAGTGAACAGCAGGTAGGTGTAGCATCACTGGCCAACCTCAGACTGGAACAGGGGTAAGGAGGCCAAACTAATGCAGAGCCTTCTGGATGGTGAAAGACTTGGATCTCATTGTTGTGACACAAAGTGAGGGGGATTGAGAAGAAATAGATGGGCGAGAGAAACAGGTGAAAGATAGTGAGAGAGGAGATGGAGAGAGCAATGGATAGAGGGAGAGGAAGGGATGAATGGATGGAAAGAGAGAGATGGAGGAAGGTATTCGGGCCATCACACTATTTTCTGTCAGTGATAGAAGCTGGCTAATGTTTCTGTTTCACCCTTTCTCTGGCAGAAAATCCACTTGGAGCTGGAAGGGATTCAGAAGAATCTGAATACAGTGACAGAGAAGACAGAGAAAGTACTTGCCATGCCAGAGCAGCTGAGCAGTGCACCCACACTGCGCTCCGAACTTGACCTGACCTCCCAGAAGATGGATCGAGTCTACAGCCTCTCTACTATCTACCTGGAGAAGTGAGTCTCACCTCCTAGGGCCTTGAGCAAAGCCAGAGAAAAGACCATGCAATGTCGGAGCTAAACCAGGCCATTCAGCCCACTGAGCCTGCTCCACCATTCAATGGGATCATTGCTGACCTGATAATCCTCAACTCCATGTTCCTGCCTTTTCCCCATAACCCTTGATTGCTTTCAACTGATTAAAACTTTGTCTTTGTCAACCTTGAATATATTTAATGACCCAGCCTCGACAGCCCTCTGTGGTAAATAATTCCACAGATTCACTCCCTTCTCAGAGAAGAAATTCATCATCTCTGTCTTCAATGGGTGACCTGTTACTCTGAGATTATTCCCTCTGGTCCTAGACTCTCCCACAAAGGAAAACAATCTTTCCACATTGACCCTGTCAAGTCCCCTCAGAATTTTCTTTGAGTAACCTCTCATTCTTCCAAACTCCAGTGAGTACAGTCCCAGCCTACTCAATCTGTCCTCATAAGACAGTCCCTCTATACCCGAATGATCCTCCTCTGGACTGTCTCCAAACCTGGTCTGTTTCTCCTTGGATAAGGCTGCTCACAGTATTCCAGGTGTGGTCTGAACAATACGTTATATAGTTTTAGCCAAACCTTGCTACTTTCAATTTCCAGTCCCTTTGAAATAAAGACCAACTTTCCATTTAGTTTCTGTATTTCCACTAAACTTGGATGTTTACTTTTTTTGATCCATGGATACAGCCCACAAATCCCCCAATGCTGCAGCTTTCTGCAGTCTTTCTCCATTTAAATAATATTCAGCTCCTGCATTCTTGTATTCTTCCTGCCAAAGTGCACAAATATCATATGTTCTCACATTATATTCCTTCTGCCAAACTTTTCTCATTCACCTTAACTGTATATATCCCTCTTTAGACTTTTTGTGTTCTCCTCACCACTCTTGTTCCCACCTATTTGACCCACAAACTTGGCAATAGTACCTTCACCTTCCTCATCCAAGTTATTAATATATTGTAAATAATTGTGGCCCCTGTGGCACTCTATCCTGAAAATGCCCCCTTATCCCCACACTTTGTGTACTATTAGTTAGCCAGTCCTCTCTCCATGCTAATGTACTGCCCCCAATACTGTGGGTTCTTTTTGAGTAGCTGATGTGTGCTTATCAAACACTTTCTGAAAATCCAAGTATGTTACATCCACCATTCCCCTTTATTTATCTTGGTTATTACCTCCTCAAAAAATTCTCATAAATCTTTCAGGCACTGATTTCTCTGATCTTCATGAAGCCATGCTGACTATCTTAATCATATTATTTATTTCTAAATGATCTGCCATTGAATCCTTTATAACAGACTTGAACATTTTCCCAATAACAGACACGAAGCTAACTGGCCTAGAGTTACCCGTTTTTTTGTCGTCTTCACTTTTTAAAGAGAGGCAGTTTTCCGATCCCTTGGAACATTTCCAGAATCCAAGGATTCCTGGAAGATTCCTACCAGAGCATCCACTATCTCTGCAGCTACTTTGTTTAATACCTTAGGATGCAACAGATCAGGTCTGGGGGATGTATCGGTCTTTAGACCCATTAGTTTTTCTAGCAATTTTTCTCTAGTGATAATTATTATATTTATTTCCTCTCCACCTTTAACCCCCTTGATTACTTTGTGATTTTAAAATGGTATTAGTGTATTCTACTGTGAAGACTGATGCAAAGTATTTATTCAGCTCCACTGCCATTTCCTGGTTCCTCATCATTATTTCCTGAGCCTCATTCTCTAAGGGGCCTGTGTTCACTTTGGCTTCTCTCTTCCTTTTTATATATTTAAAGAAGCTCTTCCTGTCCATCTTGATATTACTTGTAAGTTAATCCCTTAAAATTAATCTTCTTCTTCCTCATTTTTTTGATTGTCTTTTGTTGCTTTTTAAAACTTTCCCAATCTTCTGGCTTACTACTACTCTCTGCCACATGGCATTTTTTTTCTTACAATTTGATACAATGCTCAGTTTCCCTGGGTTATCCATGGAAAGTTTATCCCTTTGCTGCTAAACTCCTTTCCCAGTCCACTCCAGCCAGCTCTACCCTCATTACTTCATAATTATCCCTATTCAGCACAATTATTTCCAACCCATTCGATCTCAAACTGAATGCTAGCTGTAAGAAGACAGAGGGTGGTGGTTGATGGGAAATGTTCATCCTGGAGTTCAGTTACTAGTGGTGTACCTCAAGGATCTGTTTTGGGGCCACTGCTGTTTGTCATTTTTATAAATGACCTGGATGAGGGCGTAGAAGGATGGGTTAGTAAATTTGCGGATGACACCAAAGTTGGTGGAGTTGTGGATAGTGCGGAAGGATGTTGCAGGTTACAGAGGGACATAGATAAGCTGCAGAGCTGGGCTGAGAGGTGGCAAATGGAGTTTAATGCGGAAAAGTGTGAGGTGATTCACTTTGGAAGGAGTAACAGGAATACAGAGTACTGGGCTAATGGTAAGATTCTTGGTAGTGTGGATGAGCAGAGAGATCTCGGTGTCCATGTGCATAGATCACTGAAAGTTGCCACCCAGG